TGGTACCGGCCTGAAGACGAATGACTCAAAACAATTGTTTGCCAATACGGCTTTTCAAATGTGAAAAGGGGAATTTTTGCAGAACTTGTAACACGTCTAATTTGATGGTGAACGAACCTGGTTACTAGCCACTGGAATAGAATCGAACCGGCCGAGTAGGCCTCAGTGACGTGAAGATCGCACCAGCATTCAGCTAGTGCTACCAACTTATCCTTCATGCAGTTTGACAGTAAGTTGACATCTCTGGGCCAATGTGAGTCGAATATCGAAAGAATTTCCGCCTGAACCTACAAAGAGCGGGAAGTGATAGAGGTGAGAAAACTTAGCCTATTTTTGACTTTCTGGCGTCGGCATCCAGCCAGGAAAGTGTTCAGATAGTTTGGAGAAACAATATTCCACTACTGAACAAGGAAAGATGTAGAAGACCATTGTGCGAGCCTATTCTTTCTTTCGATAAGTTATCATGGGGTCGGCGTACTTACATGGTTAAGGGGTTAAGTGAAAATAGATATTTCCTGGGGCTACATATTCCATCTTTACCAATAAAATGCGTGAGCAATGAGAGGCATTGCATTAGCTTCGACTTGTCATGCAAGTACAAGGAGCAGAATACGGGTGATAATTGGAGGCAGTTAGTGTCATCATGTCACTCAAGGATGGGTATTGTGGGTTGCAGAGGTGGGAGGGGGAGGGGCAGACAAAACACAGAAAATTGCATGCAATTAGCAAGTTCACTGGCTTTCGGCCAATAGTTAATGCGGGACCTATACAAACATCTTCCTTGCGCACAAGGTCGGCTTGCGTAACTTGACTGTGCCCGCTCCTGCTGTTGCTAGCAGACGATGTCCCACTGGTTCAGGTTTAGTTCAGTAGGATAAAGAAGAAGACTTGAGGCTTCATCGGGCGCAGTGGCTGACAAAGCTAAACAGCCCGTTTACGCGAAGCATACACGCCTGGCCCGCAAACAATAATTCAGGATTTTACACAAGAAGAGGGGGGGTGGCGTCTCGGATCCTAACTGAATGGAAGTTTCATAGGTGCCAGGAGAGTCGAATTAGTTTCGACTTGTCATGCAAGTACAAGGAGCCTAATACGGGCGATAAGTGGAAACAGTCAGTATCTTCAAGTCACTCAAGGATAGGTAGTGGTGAATTGGAAGGGTGGGTGGGGGGATGCGGACGCGAGCATAGAAAACTGCATGCAATTAGCAAGTTCACTGGCTTTCGACCATTAGTTAATGCAGGGCCTATAAGAACTCCTTCCGCGCGCAAGGTCGGCTTGCGTAACTTGACTGTGCCTACTCCTGCTGTTGCTAGCAGACGATGTCCCAGTGGTTCAGGGTAGTTCAGCAGGAACTTATCACTTAGCTCACGTTAGGGTCGGAATTTGTTAGGAGCCAGCCTAAGCGACTTCGGTAGCCTTGACGAGCCGCTACCTCGTCACGGTATCGGTCTGCTCATAAACAGTGCACGTGATGCCGCGCAGCTGCGACCAGGCTGAGGATTCTAACAAGCCAGCCGGATAAGTCACAAAGCCAATGCGGTCGCTCCTCCCTTGAGGCCGCAATCTGATTGGTCCAAAATTGTACGCTTTGCTTGCCACAAGTACGCTGTACTAGGTACGTAAAAAAAGACTTCTACTTTTGCGTCCATCTTGTTCTGTTCTTCCTTGGGGACTCACATGGGGCGTAATTAGACGGTGATATCTCGGTTTTTAGCTAACATTACAACAGAACCAAACATAGGGTGCAAAGAATGAAGAAGACCTGAGGCTTCATCGGGCGCAGTGGCTAACAAAGTTAAACAGCCCGTTTACGCGCGCCACGCACGCCTGGTCCGCAGACGATGGACCAGGATTTCACAGAAGGAAATGGGAGGACGTCTCGGATCCTAATTGAATGCGAGTGCCATAGGGGCCACATTAAGGATCCATTGTAGAAGGCCTTCATTCAGTCAAATCATAACTCTGGAGTCAAAAGCACAAGTGTACTGCCTACAAGTGTGACGCCCAATGGAATTCACGGGATTTTTGGATGGAGTGTAGTTTTCTTGTAACGGGATGTAACAGAACGTGGTTTTCCCATCTTTTTAATAACCGAACCACGGTCACTAATCAAATGCGCCGGTGTTAAAGAAAAATATCAGCTACTCTCACTCGGTTCAGCACACTTGTCGAACCATTTGCCGAACAGTGGTCACTGCGGCCAACATGGTTTCGTGCATCTATGGAGGGAAGTTTGGCAAGGGTGGAGTCAGGCTGAGATGAATATCTAGACTGGACTGTCAATCAATCTCATCAAGGAATATTACTAGCAGGGTAGACAAATGGGGAATACTCATTTACAAACGCTCAAAGTTCCGGCTCTTGTGACCATTATAGTCGTAGAGAGGAGCACGCACTCGGTGAGCAAAGGGGTTCGGTTATTTGAGGACTGCACGTGTCTGAGGAGAGCTAAGAGGAAGCAGCTGATAGACACCCACCTCGGTATTCACGTTCGGCAAGGAGGCTATGAGCTGAAGCCAAGTTGACAGCTCCCTAGGGCTGGGAAAATCCTGTCCGGGAAGCAGTTCGTTTAGGCGTTCCTGCAAGTTCTTCGCCGTGCCTAATGAAGGAATAAATGCAAAATCGTTTAGTAGGACTGCCAGGGACAGGGACAGGAACATCATCTCGGTTGTGGGGGGGAAGAGTGTCACTGTTGTGCTTCATAATTATAATCAGCCAGTTCTGATCTCGAGGGTGTGTTTTGTGATTTATTCTGTCCGTCTACTACAGTTGGATGTCATGATTAAAGTAGCAGTGCCTCGCGGCAGGAGAGGGAGGCAGACACAAAGTTAAATATTATCGACTGCATCTGGAAGTCAGGGAACACAGAAAATACTCGTGAAATCCATCATTGACGCTTCTAGGTATGGCCACCCTGAATGGCTAAGTTTCGCCATGGAAGATCGTCGGACTGGTTTAGAGTATGGCCTCCTACACAGAAGCAAACAAAATTAATTGCTTAGCCATTTGCGCAAAGATGTCACGCTTTCTCTACAGAAAGTTCACAAACAACCTAGGGAGTTTGATGAGAGAGCACTCCGAGGGTGCACAAATATATGATCCCTATGGATAGACACAGGATATAGGATTGAGTGCTGGGACTAGTCAGCTCAGTCTAGCACGGTCAACATGCACTGCAATTGTTTGTGCGCACCAACACGCGCTCTCGAAATGACCGGACACTTTTATCTCAGACCTCAAGTTTGTCCGACGACACTTGACCGCTTCGAAACTGCGCAGCAGAAACACAAACAACTGGGGCACCAGACCCGAAAATGTACTAATTAAAGTTACGTTATATCCCGAAGAACATCTTCTTCTTCAAACAAACAACTCTCATTGCTTGGCCTTAATTTCCCGAAAATTCGACCTAAACTTGAGTCGGTGTGCTACTTGACGGTTTTACACGACGTGAAGTTGTTCCCTTCTTCAGACTGGCGTTTTGACCGAAGCTACTATTTGTTAATAGTTGGCCAGTGTCAAAAAGAGATAAGTCACCAAAGCAAACGCACGCCGAGCATGCTCTCTCTCGGGTTCAGAAGTATCGGTAGTCTCGCCGAGAGGTCCAACGAAGGAAACAGGTTTGAACGTAGGAATTTACGGCTAAAATCTGTCACCGTTATACTTACGAAGCGCAACCTTTACGTGTTGCTGTCCAAAGAAAGACGGACGCATTTGAACACTGGTGCCCTCGCACAATGCTGTGGCTCTCGTTCATGAACAGTGTTCCGAACTTGAATCTCTGCCGCTGATCGGTGACACCTACTGGGGTCGTAGTGAAAGATGGGCATCTCAGATGTTTTGGTTATGCCATCTGTCGACAAAACGCAGGTTTGCCGGAGGAGTCGAGTCTCCGAACCCTTGCTCATAGATGCACCCTCTACGCGGAAACTAACTGAAAAAGTGGGCGCATGGGGTTAAATCGGATCTGGAGAAGATGTTCCACTAGACGGTACTCTGTACCTGGGATAATTGTTCGGGGGGATATGTCGTCGATCAAAAGACATGCACTACGCTAGTTCATGACGGCGTGAAATCTAGTGCTGCCCGGTAAAATCAGAATTTTTGCTAGCCAAAACAAGAATAAGCACCAGTACTGGGCTGTCATGTATGAAATAAAGTACCACCTAAAGGTTATTTTTGAAATATTTTAGAGGGTAATATGGGTTAGTACTTAATTTGGATTGATATTTTGGTGAGAGAAACAGTGTCATTTTGTTCGTAGTGTAGACAGGAAAAAAAAGAGGCATTAACTAGCGAGATATTGACGAATAAAGAGAGGAAAACGGTCGAACTAACAGGGTTCAAAGCCAGTTTTTTTGATGCTCTTTGAAGATGCAGTTGGTCGTTGCTTTTCGGTTGGCTCCTCAAAGTAAAGCAAGTCAAACATGTGACGTAGGAGGGTAGTGAGGGTCTTTTGGCGCTGGTAGGGCATGCCAGGTGGAAAGAGGGGTCTGCTCAGGAGTTTGGTGATGAAGGCAGCCGTATCAGCGTCATCGACACAGTCACCGACCGCAGGGGGCTGGTCCGCAAAGGTGAGGGGATCAGGACTGTGGGAGGAGGTACAGCGAAACCATAAGAGGGAGGCGAAGTGGAGGAGGTCATCTGCAGAAGAGGAGAAGCCGCCGATTAAATGTGCTCACCGATGGCCCTTATATAGTCTTGATAAAAAAACCCTCGTTCATCCACTACATAGGACTTTAATAAGCAAGTTTAAAAATACATCGAGTTCGGTAAGACGTGGTTGTGAATCAGTTCATTTAGAAGGGAGTCTGGTTTACAGTACACAGTTCTATCTGCGGCCCAATGAGGACGAAAATTATTCATATGAGCACACTGACGCAAACACTAAGACAAACTCTCACGGATTACATGATTGATCGTGGAATACGTCCAAGGTTAGCAAGGGCGGAATATGAGAGAAATCAAATAGAAGCATTGAGATTTGGAGTTGCATGCTAGTAACAGGAAGGGACTCATAACAGTTGGAATTTACTTCGTGGTGGATTATTTACGACTGCGGAAGACGCATTAATTACACGCCATTTTTTTCAAAAACAAGGGCTAAAAACTCTGTAAAAGCTAACTTCTGTTAGTGGAACAGTAAGGCAAATACGGCAAAAAATTGGCACGCTCCATACCCAAGTCCTCCAGTGGACAGAGGTCGACAACAGCCGGAGACTCTTGGTCCATAACAGGCTTTAAATCAAAGAATCGTCTTTGTACGTCCGGATAACCCGCAACACGAAGACCTTTGCCACCAGCAACACCATGTAACATCCCCTTGGTGGGACCTTTTAGGGTGGCACACCTGTTACGAACGCACTGGGACATTTCAAAAAATCCATGAATTACGGTTTGGCGTGCGGTCGGGTCAGGTGAGGCAAGGAGACTAGCTAGTCCGGTGAAAGCGAGTTGACGAAGGGGCAAGGGTGTAGCACAGGAAAGGTGCAGAGAGGGCAGTTTTGAGGTGATAACGCAGAGTGCAGCGCAGGCTTTGGCACGAATGAGGTCGTTGGCATGGCTGAGACCGATAAGCACCACATCAGAGTACTGTAAGAATAATTAAATAATGGTCATAACTTTGTCTACTTGCTACGTGTAAGTAGGCAAACTTGTATTAAATACCTCGTTAAAGAGCCCAGTTAACACCGGTTGAGAAAGAAGTGGCAGGAACGCCGACCAAACCATCAATCTGCATTCCACCAAGGACTCTTCTGTTGATGAAGAAGGTTCTGTGAGTAATTTGGCAAGCTTGAATGCCACGACTTCACCAAAAGTCCTGTCATGATCCTCAGATGGCAGACAAACAAGGGAAGGCCTTGCGCAGTGTGTCAAAAAGTTCTGTATCCGCAATCTCTACAGCAAGCGAGAAGAGACAGAAAAATGCTGACAGGCAGGTCAGAAAAGAGTGGGAAAAAACAGAATGCATTGCAGAATCAAAACCCACAGTGACAACATGCACGCGGGTTTCATCCAGATGACGTAGCTGCTGGCTCGGTGGACAGTCTAGTTCGCCATAGAGGAGGAAGGCCTCCAGGGGGGCGACAAATGTTAAGGGCGGACTAGTGAAGAAGAAAAAAGTGTAATGTTTACAAACCTTCTTCCCAATCGGTACTTGCACAGATAGACAATTTCCCACAATATCTCAAAATAGTTACGCTGGAGCAAAACAGAAGGGACATTAGTTAATGACGGGAGTATATCGGACCACATCGGACTATGCGTTGTATATCGCAAGTCAGATACTGTAGCAAGCTTGCAGTTAGTCTATATACAGCAAATGACACTACGTTGCGTCATAAAGTCATGGCAGAAACTTGAGTTATCATTTAAATATTGTTGCTTTAACCCATTAGCTTATTATTGATCTACCCCATAATGTATACTGGGTGCCAACTTCCTACAAGCCCACGCAGGCCGTATTACAGCATGCTATTTACTAATCATAGGACAAAGGATCATTAGAATTAGCAGCTTCAGTGTAGTTACACTACTTCCGGCAGCAGTTTCCAAGCCTGCGTAGTTCAAACTAAATAGAAACTGCCATACTCTCGTGGATAGAGCGGAGTGGGCGGAAATTAAGGGAAGCCCTGTTGTGCTCCGGGCCTCAAACAGAATAGCATAATCCGAGGTTCACACTTATTGTTGAGATTGAGGGAATATGAGCCCGGCGCTGACTTTAATCAATGCCACTTCTGACTAATAATAGCGTCAGTAATAGTACCAGTACTACTCTCACTCAGCTACACTCCTAGTTAATATTGGTAGTAGAAATAGCAGTAGTAGTAGTACCAGCTTTGGTTTCCTTGAGTCTGCCTTGGGACCTACTGAAGATGAGTGAGAGTAAATAATGCGGTAGTACCAGCGCAAAAGACTACTGTCACTTAAGACTAATTTAGGCGGTGTTCTGGCCTGCATCGGAAAAAGCGGCTTACGCCTGCTCCCGCTCTGTTATCTTGACTCTGTCTTGTCGCCGGTTCAAGCGGGTTGAGCGGCATCAGAGTGCGGAAGACGGCTGCGCGTCTATATCACCTGCATCTCTTCTCTGACTCCAGTCACCGTCCCTGCTCCTGAGCACATGGTGAACTTCATCGAAATCGATGGT